TGGAGTCCGGCTCACTGGGTTGAGCTGCTCACGTCCAGCGGCTCTGCTGTGAGGATCTGCGGGTCTCGGTTTCTACTGGGCTCCGCAGGTCTGGATGCCTGTGCGTTGCTGACAGAAAGTCCTGGTAGGAAGTGAGATGGGTCCGAACGAGAAAAGTGTTATTTAGGAAGAAAGCAGTCTCTTGGGCTGACCGACCTGAGTTCTTACTCAGGAGAACCAGTTGCCCAGGATTTTCTTACCCAGGACAACATATCTGGGATCCAATAGCATTGCTATTGTGTTAGCTTATACTCCGTTTCTAACCCAGCCCCTGCCGCTCTGCCACTTTCTTTTCCGAGTAATCATTAACGGGGTAACATACAGTTAAGTGTAGAGTTACATTTATATATATATATTGATTTCAGAGAGAATGGGAGAGGGAGAGACATAGAAACATCAATGATGAGAATCATTGATCAGCTGCCTCCTGCACGCCCCCTACTGGGGATCTGAGCCAGTAACCCTGAGGGAGAATCAATCTTGACCTCCCGGTTCATAATTTGACGCTCAACCACTGAGCCACATCAGCCCGGCAAAGAGAACCTTTTTATTCTTTCTGTAAAACTTGCCAGTCCAGGTCACTGAGTGTTTCTTTATGAAGTTAGTAAGTAGTAAACAATAACTTAGTAAACAGATGAAGAGATAATGTTTCATCCGTTATGTAAAAGCCAGTTTGAAATGCAGGAATTCTTGGATTTAGGAAACATTCTAATTTCATGTTGAATTGTAATCTACTTGTTCGGATTGTTGGAAACGCCATCATTGAAAAGAAGTCATGATGGTGAGTCTATTTGTTTACTCATTCATCCATTTAATAATCAGCACTCATTTATTGAGCACCTACTATGTGCTAGGTCCAGTGAACACTTCTGTTTGAAAAAACTGGATGGACTGAGAGAAAACCACAGAGTTAAGTAGGCAAGTAAGTTTTGACTCTAGTATGAGCCTTGTTGTTGGCTAGTTCAATTGTAATGTAATCCCTTAATTGAAAAAATAAACATAAATGAACATAGCTGTATTCTAAGCTGATGGCATATCCACATATTGAAGAACTATTTCAAATGACTCTAAAACATAGCACTTTTTACTCTACATCTTTAGAAGGGTATTTCTTTTTTTTGCTAGAAGGGTATTTCAATAAAAAAAAGAACTCTAAGAAATCTTAAAGTCTTTTTAATAGTATTATTATTAGTAGCCAATATTAGCATTGTGATTTCAAGACTGTTATATGTATTCTGCAGGATAAAGCAAAAAAGTAATCAAAATTTTCACATAAGTGAAAGAGAGAATTATGTAATCAAATAAGTTGGACAAAACCCCTGCTACCTGTTATATAAGTGGGAAATAAATATAATTTTT